GCAGAAAATTTATGAAAGTATTTTTGGGATCTCCGGGGTGGGAAAGGATTTCTTAAGTTAGAACTCAAAGGACAACAGTAAGTAGAAAAACTGATGACTGGCTGCATCAATATTAAATATTTTTGTTCAAGATACCTGGGATACTGTTAATCAAGAGGCAAATGACAGGCCGGGCACAATGGCTCATAATCCTAGCACTGTAATCCTAGCACTCTGGGAGGCTGAGGCGGGCAGATTGCTCAAGGTCAGGAGTTTGAAACCAACCTGAACAAGAGCGAGACCCCATCTCTACTAAAAATAGAGAGAAATTAATTGGCCAACTGAAAATATATAGAAAAAATTAGCCGGGCATGGTGGCGCATGCCTGTAGTCCCAGCTACTCGGAAAGCTGAGGCAGAAGGATCACTTGAGCCCAGGAGTTTGAGGTTGCTGTGAGCTAGTCTGATACCACAGCACTCTAGCCTGGTCAACAGAGTGAGACTCTGTCTAAAAAAAAAAAAAAAAAAAAGAGGCAAAAGAGGGGAGAAAGAAGTCTAGCAACGTCCATTTATTAATAGATTGAACCTTGTGAATTGCTATTTTTGTGTCTTTGAAACCAGTGAACATCTGCACTTTAATATAGCTCAGCCTATCTAACATGTAAGAAATCTAACATCCAGTAGAAAATTGGACAAAAGGTATCAGGCAGTTGACTGAAGAGGAATGCTTACATGTGAGAAGAGATGCCCACCCTCAATAGTCATTCATAAAGTACAAATTAAAACAATGGTGATTTACCTACCACCTTAAAACCATAAACTGAGCTGGATTTTTTAATTGATTTACTAATAAAATAGTCTGAGATAAATTTCTGAGTTAACCAAGAAAAATATAAACTGGGACCAATATCGCTCACTAAAGCTTCACTAAATTGCATTTGACAACTCTGAACTGTAATGAAAATAATTTTTAATTTTTGTTTTAGTGAACATCTATTTGGCTTTTCAGTGAGAAACAAATACAATTTTATTTAGAATTATACCTGGAGTGTAACTACTACACTTTGGAAATTCCCTAAATGAAGAGTATATCTGTGAAAAGGGTTAGTCCTAGAACAAGTGGATGTATTTATCTCTCAGTACTCCCAGTGGGTAGCTAAAACATGAGAGAAATTTTTAAAAAATAGTAACTTGAAAACTTGTATCAATTTGTTGGCTTCATGTTCCATATACATTGAAAGCAATAAATAATAATTCCATCTTCATTCTCTTCTAAAAAAAGTAAATACCAAATAAGAAAATTAGACCAAGTTGTTTTTTAACTGTCCTTATACATAATAACAATTAGAGTTATTTTAATTGTAGAAAAAAAATTATCTTTCTAGATTGCTCTGCTTAGGGTAGTTTTCAGATAACAACCAATTGGCCATTTAAAAAGCCAGTTCCAGTTTAAAGTAAAGGATACTTCATAATAAGAAGGAAATATTATTTCTTTTCCAAAAATGTAATGTGTACCCAAAGCCTATCTGTAAATTCCTACAGAGTTTTTCTATTTTGATTTACCTAATGGATGAAAAACTTAGGAAATTGAATATTAGTTAATCACTAATTTCATTATTCTATTCTCTTTTTTCAGGGACCAAAGGTAAAGCCTCTAAGTACCTCATCTAAAAAGTGGGGCTCTTTTTTTATTGACTCAGTTTCAGGACTGGAAAATACAGAAGATTCCTTGGTTTATACATGGTCCTCTAAGAGAATCAGTACTTACAGCACTATTGCAATCCCAAGTATTGAAGCAATCGCAGGTAAGGGGAAAATACTATAAAGCTTTACCTATTGCTGGATAGTAATGACCTTAAGTACTAGGATTATTGTCTTTAAAAGAAAGAAATCTTCACACAACACGATTTATTTTAGGAGGAAACATCTTCTAGATACGGCAACCTAGGTAGTTAGGACCAGCCCTTCTGCTGGAGCCAACTACAAAAGCTGGATAACTTTTATTTTAAGTCTGCTTGGAAGCAGAGGACAAAGATAGTTAAGACTTATCAGGGCACCATGCTGAGAAGGCCCAGGAGGGTGAACCTGTCTTTTGTGGCTGCTTTTTCCTCTGGGTGTTTGCTAATTCCAGAGAGGATGCCAAAGAGGGTGAGTGGGCCTTTCAGGAACTTCATGAACCTGCAGGAATGGGAACTAGAGAGGGCATAAGGAGGGGCTAGGCCTGGCAAACTCCTTTCAGTCTCAGTCTGTGATAAGACCAGGAACGGTGCTACCTTAGAATAAGGATGAATTGGAAAGTAGTTCTTAGGTTCACAGGGACCATAGCTTAGCTTCAAATCAGCTGAATCTCTAAAGTTGAATTGAGGAGATTCCAGATTGCTAGTGCAGTCTACACACCTGGTAGAAACAAATGTAGATTCTATTTGAGGAAGATAATGTCATTCTAGGACTCAACTCACTTCTAAAAACAATTCACATAAGGTTCAGCACATAATGAAAAAATAGCTAGGCACATAAAGTATGAGACCACACTAATAGAAATAACCATGTTTACTATGGTTAAATACAAAAAAGAAAAGAATGAGATATTTGGTAGAGACATAAAAACTATAAACAAGGAATGTATAGGTCAAAAGAGTAAGTATATGAATAAATTAAAATGAATACTTACTGTTTGAAACAATCAAAGATTAAGTCCTATGGGATTTACATAAATAAGAGAATTAAAATACATGACAGTGGCATATAAATGCCAAAGTGAGGCAGCTGGAGTATTCTAACATCCTTGAATTATGGATAAGAGTATGTTAGGTATTAATATCAGAAATGCATGTTGTAATCTCTAAGATAACTATCAAAAGAATTGTAATGATATATATACACCAAGTTAATATGTAAAATAGATTAAGAATCCAAAAGAGAACACAAAAGGGGAGGAAAAAAGTATTAAGGATTAGTAGGACAAATGGAAAGCATTTAGTAAGATGTAGATTTAAACCTGAAGTAATTACATTAAATATGAGTGACTAAACACTCCAAATAGAAGCCTGAATAAAATAACACTACCCAACTATAGGCAGTTTATAAGAGACATAGCTGAAACTTAAGGACTCAGAAAGTTTAAATCTCAAAAAATGGAAAGAGGAAGTACCACATTTTGCTATTTGGTAACCCAAAAAAAAAGTTGGCTGTGCTACTGTGAAACAAAGTAGACATTAAAGAAAAAATCCATTAACATGAGAGAGAATCTCATCCTAATGATAAATTCTCAGTTCTTAGAAATATAACCGAAAGTCTAAAGTATTCACCAGGGGCCCCCTCCTCTCTCAGGTCAGAACTTACTTTCTCCCTATTCTCACAATACCAAGAAACTGCTAAAAAAAAAAAAAAAAAAAAAACTACTCTGCTTTATAGAGGTATGCCTTGTGCTTGGATTCTTAGTTTCCAAGTTCCCTTCAGAATTTGGCAATCAGCTTGAGGAGAAAACCTGCAGAGTGCAATTCTCTGCCCTCTCCTGTATGGTGGACTCCTAGCCCCTCAGTGTTCGCCTCTGCAGCCCTGCAAGGCAGCCAGAAGCTCTCCTGGCTTTGCTGCTGCTGGGAGCGAGTGGCCCCTGCCACCAGCCAGAACTCCAGTGCCTAAAGGAGAAAGCTGTGGCAACAGGTCCTCTTCTGCAGGTTACTCCTTCCCAGGAATCGTGGGTCCTAAGTCTTCTTCGGCTATACAGTGATTTCACTCTGATGCTTCTATTTTGTCAAGCTTTTCTAGTTGTTTCACCTCCAAGTTAGATGTGAAAGTCTAGTTAAGGTTTTTGAACTTCAGATTCTTCTTCCTTATATTGGGGATGATAATACCAGGCTGCATTTTCTCCCTCACGGTATAGAAGTAACAAAGTGAAGCAAGATATTTATCTGAATTTTGGTAAGATAATTGATGATAAAGAGTATGACCTTCTAAATGATTCCTCCTCTCTGCCAGTATGCAAGTTCAATATGTATGTTAGTATATCCTACTCTTTGAAATATCTTGTTCTCACTGGTTTCAAAAGAATGATTTATTTTTTCATTCTGTTTCATACTTGCACACATAAAATTAAAGAAAGATAACCTAAATATAATTCTTCCTTTTACAAACAATTTTCCTATTGAAGAAATGGACTGTGTAAACTATAAGCGAGGGCCCAGCCCAGAATTAAACTATAATTTTCAATCTTTATAATTCATTTTTATTTTCTTGTAAAAGGATTCAGATTTTTAGTGAGAGTGTGATAATCACAGCCCCTGAATTATTCTAAAATACCTAGATAAAACTTGTGAAATTATAAGCAAATCAAAGAAAAGTGAATCTCCATTATTCCAGAATTTAAATATTTCTCCAAAGAAGTAGAAAATAACCACCTCTCCTTTAACAACGCTAACGTCAGTGCACATTTCATTTTCATATCCCAAAAGCTTTCTTCACAGCACCCTTGAAGAGAACTTGGCAGGGCCTCTGTCTTCTGTCCAACTTCTCTCCTGCGGAATTATTAAGTAGGACTTGTGAGTATCAAACACGCTTAAACAAAGGCCCATTTTTTGTGTGGGGAGGGAAAGGAGAAGGAGTTGTGTCTCATTCAGTTGTTGGTTTTGGCTTTAAGATACTTCCTCAAAAAGCAGTGTTAGTCTCTAAGTTAGCACTCATTGCTGTGATCACATTTTCATAAAGAAGTTGTATCTCACACAGAACTTGCTATTATTTCAGTAACAGCTTCAGTACAGTTGGATATTACTGTGTAATTTACCTCCAAGTAAGAAGAACGGCTGGAAGAAAAATAGGGTGATGGTCATAGCCTTAGACATGTTAAATTTACAGTCTTTGTAAAAATGTTATCCTGCTAATCTCTCTCTTTTTTTTTTTAAAGTCCCAAGAATTGTTCTGTTTCTCTCTGTATTATTTTACATTGAACTTACTGTGTAAGAATATTTATTTTGGTTCACTTCATGGTTACCTAAATATGGATAATATGGATGATACTATAGTGTATTTAGTACACAGAGTTTATTAGAACATTTTGGTAAGAAAGAATTTGGTTCTTTGTCCCCCTTTCTTTTCCAGATAGTCAGCACCCAACAATGACTTTTCTATGACAGAGACATATTCTTTTCCTCTTGCTAAATCCCCAGTTTCAAGAAGCCACAGTCTGGGGAGTCTTGTTTTTAACAGAACAGTCATCTGATCTCAGTTTTGCTCACCCATACTCAGATTTCTTAGCAGTGATAGACCTTTTCTGTTACCTGCGAGAAAGAATAAAATTAATTTGTTTTGAATAAAATAGGAAGTGAAAAACAACCTGATACTTCCCTTTTGCCTCTCAAAACGTTTTTGTATTTATGTAATGTTTCTATATTTGTGGATATCCTATTAAATGTGGTTATCTCATTCACATTTAAATGCCTACAAGCCATTGTAATAGTTGTTATGAAAGTTTATATTTATTAGCCATATATGTTACAGTGGTGGTTTGGTTTATAAGCATTTTGATAAGGTCATTACTTTTAACTTTATAATATCAATAATAGGTACACATAATAATAGCTACACAGAGACTTGTCCAGGAAATCTTAAAATTATGCATATCTAAAATAGGTTTCATTGTCAGTGAATATCAACTTTTGATTTGTTTATAGTTATGAAAGACATTTGGAGACCTGTTGAATAATTAAATTCTTTTTTGGTTTTTTCCCCCCAGAATTACCTCTGGACTACAAATTTACAAGATTCTCTTCAAGCAATTCAAAAACAGCTGGCTACTATCCAAACCCTCCATTGGTCTTATCAAATGATGAGACACTGACAACCAAATAAAAATTCTTTACAATTGAAGTGAAGAACCACATATGCAGCAAATGTACTGTAAAAAGAAATGTTAATTTTCAAAAACTAATGCTTTGGTAAAATTCTTTATAGAATTAAGTGTCCTTTCTATAAAACATTTTGATGTTTAACAACTCTCATTAAAATTTCAGTATCCTAGAACTAAAAAGAATCTTATTTATATTTTCTATGCCACTAGTTTTGAGATTAGAATTCAGCTGGGGAGAGATAAACAAGCACACACACCCACACACACACATTTACACATATGCCTAGTCCAATGGTTCTCAAAGTGTGGTCCACAGACCAATAGCATAGCATTACCTGAGAACGTATAATGCAAATTTGTGAGCCCCATCCCAAACCTCCTGAATCAGAAACTCTGGGAGTAAGGCCCAGCAATCTGTGTTTTAACTGGTGATTCTGATTCACCACTGGCTACACCATATCCTCCAGACATTGGTTTAATTGGTCTGAGTAGATATAGCTGAGCATTGATATTTTTTATATGCCTTAGGAAAGTACAGCCAGAATAGAGAACAACTGATTTATACCAATGCCTTCAACTGATAGCCAAGAATGCTGAGTCCAGTGAAATTAAATGATTTTTCCAAGCTGTTAGGTTTTGTGCTATTCCTGTGTTTTTTTCTAAAACAAGGAAATAGACATGATTTCTTCTGAGATCGCAAAGCCAGTATGGAAAAGAGTGAGTACTGGAAGTCACCTAGCTCAGCCTCCATTGTTATCCATTAAGTCTTTTTCCCCCTAATAATCTTAAAGTCTGTTTTATTTGTTTTCATTAATTTTAGCCATGCATTCTGAATGGGGATAAAAATTGGTTCTTGGGATAGAAAGAAAACCTCTTAGATAATACAGAGGATTATAGCCTTCCAAAAGCATAACCCTACCCAACAAAATCTTATTCCTTAGTATTAACCTCTCTCATTAGGAAGAAATTTAATTTTATAGCTATTAAAGCTATTAATTTCATTTAATTAGCATTAAATTTAATTTTTCTCATTGGGAAGGAAAATGATAATGAAGAAAGTTTGAGAAAAAACTGGTTTAAGGGGTTTTATAAGTATACTGTAATCCAGGATTGTTGTGTTCTGTGTGGTATGGATAAATCATACATACCAGCTATTTCTTGCAAGCTATTTGGAGCCAAATAATGTTTACAGTATTAGCTCCTGGCGACTCTTTATGCTCTAAGTTTACTCTATCCATCAGGGACAGTATTAGAAAACACACTGGTCACTATCATTATTTTACCTGGATTATAGAAGAAAATTTAGTATATCGATGTATGCAATGAAAAGAAAAATATTTTATTAAAATTTGTAAATGTCATATGAATCCCAAATATACTGTGTGGGTGAGTATCTCAGGGTAGGTTAAAAATTACTGAAATTTTTTCTTCAAAGTCAATAGCTTTGTTTGATACCTATCAATAAATATACGGTGATGTACTTGAAATTGGAATGTCATTGGAATATTATGAGCATATACAATTAAGCTTACAGCTAAATGAAAGATGCTATGTCATGTACGCTTTAAATAGACATTTGATTTCTTTTAAAAATAAAGCTATTTTTCCTTATGCATGTTTATTCTGTAAATGCCAAAGGATACATCTTTAAATGCTTATAAACTGCTGTTAATACAAAAAATGAGAACCTCAAATAAGAAAGTAATTGTACCAAGAAGTGGGAAAAAAATTCACTTACGTTGAAAGTTCTAGTCCTACTTTGGGCAGTATCTACCCAAAGACCCTGAACAAGTTACCACCTAATTTGCCCTCAGTTTTTTCCATCTTATAATAAGAGGTTAGAGTTTAAGTTTCCTTCTACCTTTCTAGCATAGTTAGTGCTTCTAATAAATGTTGTTTTTCCACTAGACTATAATTAGGTCTTTTAAATTTTTATTCATTGTTTCTAAAAAGTGCCTGTGTTTCTAATTGGATATGAACTTTAAAAATAATCATCTAAAAGTGGTACCATAAAAATTCAAAAGAGAATATTATAGAAGAAAAGCTATATATTCTCCAATGAAGGTATATGAAGTAAGAAAGCACGAAAGTTGTGTAAATGGGCAGAAAACTTGTTTAATATTAGCATATAGGCAAACAGCATCTAAAAGATACCTAAAAATGCAAGGGAGCTGAGATTTTCTTTGTTGGCCACTGTTGATCTCAGCAGTGGAAAGATCGGAGTGACTCAGTGGTAAAATATTTTGTCAGAATTTGTTACTTATAATATTGAGGTAGGAGAACCTCAATTGAACCATGAATTGCAATCTAAAATCAGCTTCAGTGAACTCTAAATTGAAATCAAGTATTATTTCCCCACCAACATTCATTTCCAAAACTAACTTTATATATGTATGTGCATACATGAAAATCAAATATTATTTAACAAACCAGCATAAAATGGAACGTCAAACTATATATAATAACCTGGGGGGCTGGGTGTGGTGGCTGTAATCCTAGCACTCTGGGAGGCCGAGGCAGGAGGATCGCTCGAGGTCAGGAGTTCAATACCAGCCTCAACTGGAGCAAGACCCCATCTCTACTAAAAATAGAGGGAAATTAGCTGGACAACTAAAAATATATAGAAAAGATTAGCTGGACATGGTGGTCCATGCCTGTAGTCCCAGCTACTTGGGAGACTGAGGCAGAAGGGTTGCTTGAGTCCAGGAGTTTGAGGTTGCTGTGAGCTAGTCTGACACCACGGCACTCTAGCCCGGGCAACAGAGTAAGACTGCCTCAAAAACTAAATAAATAAATAACCTGGAAAACATGTTAGAATCACATAAATGGCTTTTAAAAATGTACAGCAGTAACATTCATTCCCTTTCCTCTTCTCAGGCTCTTGAGCACAGATTATCATAAGAGTTGGCTTCCAGATTAGTGCAAGACTGGAATACACTTGACTGCTTTTATTAAAGTCATTAGGGGCACTGGGGGACAAGGCAGAGCCTGGGAGCATCCGCTGCCGCCACATGAGGGCAGGTGGAGACCATCTATCTCCCCAGGAGACAGGTGCACCTTCCTGAAGCATGGCCAGACCTGCATGGTGCACTGCCCTGGGATGCTTGGAGATAGAACTTTGATTCCTCCTGGGACAGAAACAAGCCCTTTAAGTTTATGCTAGGCAAGCAGGAGGTGATCCGAGGCTGGGAAGAAGTGGTTGCCCAGATGAGCATGGGTTGGAGAGCCAAACTAACTGTATCTCTAGACTATGCCTATGGTGTCACTGGGCACCCGGGCATCATCCCATCACATCCCACTCGCCTTCCATGTGTAGCTTCTGAAACTGAAATGACAGGAATGGCCTCCTCCCTTAGCTTTCTGTTCTTGGATCTGCCATGGAGGGATCTGGTGCTTCCAAATATGTGTACATGAATCCATATGGAGCTTTTCCTGATGTCCCCCTACACGCTGTGTAAGCATCTACCCCAACTGAACGTATTCTGGCACTCAGCTTTGCTTCTGACACCTCCATTTCCTCTCCTCGTATGTGTGTTTATGCCACACATAAACTATTCCATAAACCTCAAGTTGCTCATTTTATTTTGTTTTCATTTTGGGGTAAAGATTCAGTTACAATCTTTTCGATCTAGGTTTCCTAGTAAGTATATGATCAGGTATTAACAGCACAAATGATAGGTTAACTTTAGAATAGGAATCGATGTGTGTTGGAGGGTGTAAGAATCTTTATTTTAGGGGATGAAATTTTTATTTATTATGTATTAAACATTCTTGCTGTTGCACTGCAAAGTTATGGCAAATTAGAGGCACTGATAAGAGCTGAATTATTCTCCAAGCTGAGAGATGTCCTTGAGTTAAATTAAAAGCCCTACCCAAAACTGCAGTCAGGAACAGGGAGAGCCTTTGCCTTCACCAGCTCCACCTCACCCTCCCGTTAAACCCTCTGCCTTTTGAAAGATCATTTTCACTGTGATGTTGTACACTACAGGTATCTGTCCCTGGGCCAACAAGGACCTCTGAAGCCCTCTTCATTGCCTGGCTTAATTTTTTTTTCCATTCTATGGTTTTTCTAATGGACTTTCAGGAATTTTGTAACTTACCAAGGTCCACCACTTCCTAAACTTAAAGAACATTAATTGAAAGTTTAAATTGAAGGAGCTGTTTATAGACTTAACACCCAATGAAAGCCCAGCCATCATGACAAATCCTTGAATGTTCTCCTAAGAAAATGATGCTGGTCATCGCAGCTTCAGCATCTCCTACTTTTTGATGCTTGGTTCCCCCTGCTCATCTCAGTGTTTCCTGGCTTTTCTTCCCACAGCCTCTTCTCACCCCTTTGTTATCCTGTGTAGTTATTTGTGAGAGAAATTATTGCTGCCCTTCTCCCCTGTGGCACCACATACGAGTTTCACGTTTTATTTTTGCAATAAAAGTGCTTTATGCTGGAACCCATTCTACTAAGTGAAGTATCCCAAGAATGGAAAAATAAGCACCACATGTATTCACCATCAAATTGGTTTTAACTGAATACCAAAGGGCACATATGGTAATAATATTCATCAGGTGTCGGGCAGATGGAAGGGGTAGGTGGGATGGGACTATACATACATAATGAATGCGATGCACACCGTCTGGGGGATGGACACACTTGAAGCTCTAAGCGGGGGTGGCAAGGACAATATATGTAACCTAAACACTTGTACTCCCATAATATTCTGAAATAAAAAAGAAGAAAAATAAAATACTGTGCTAACTCAAAAAAAAAAAGTGCTTTATGCTGGCTTTTCTCAAAAAAAGGAAAAAAAAAAATGTCATGAGGGCATGGCAAGTAATTCACCCAGTATGATCCAGTTGCTGCCCTTGAACATAGTCCAGGCCACATAGGATGAATTCAAAAAAGTGTCTCTTGGTCCCTAGAACCATCCTCAGAAATAATGGTAATAAGGCCTGACTCCTCAGCAGACCACTTCATATGTTATCTTGTTTACTTCCTACAGCAACCATATTAGGCATGTGTAATTGTTACAATTATACAGGTGAGAAAATTGAAATTCAGAGAGGTTACATATTATGCTTGCTCAAATTGCACTGTTAGTAAGGGTCAGACTCTCTTACATGAGCCCATGTTTGACTCACAGAATCATAATTTCAGTTGATTGACACATAAAGTCTTCCAATATGGAATCTAAACTGGGGCAAATTCTCAGTCTAAAAACCACACTTCAATTTAACAATTACATCATGCTAGGACATAAGAGGGATTAAAAGTGCAGACACAGGCTTTGTCCTAAAGTAACTTATAATTTAGTAAAACATATTAAAACAAATGTCTATAAACCTTACCTAGAAGAGTAAAATAGAGATTCAAGAATCACAGAAGTCCTAAAATGTGTAATGACTCTGTTCTTGAAAGCCACACATGCTAACGTCATCAATAAGCAGACCTATTCTTCCTTCATATTCTGGTTCAAATGTTCACCTTAAATACTTAGCAAATCTCCCTTGCTAGTGCTGAAGTAACCAAAAGGCAGGAGTAATGAATGAAAAGTCATCTTCGAGTTAACTTAGTGGGAGATAGATATCTGGGCCTATATAGAGAAGTCAGATCATTATTTAGAATGACACCTACAAAAGCACACAGACTGCTTGACAGTTTCTTGCACCACATACTCCTTTCACAGACTCTTGGAAAAAGACAAACAAACAAACTTTATTTTACTTTCTTAGTACTTTGGCCTACGTACTTTCTTGGTAAGGGTCAAAGTTTCATAAAATTTAACAAAGTTTAATAAAGAAGGTGCTTTGAGCCCAGGAGTTTAAGACTGCAGTGAGCTGTGATCACAGTGAGATAAGCCTGTCTCAAATAAATAAATAAGAAGGAGTAAATTACTAAGTGTCTGTTAAAAGCATTCACCAAGTTTAAAAAAAAAAAAAAACACTCTGAATTTAACTACAATGTCAACAGTTCTTTACAGTTCTTAGCAGCTAAATTCCATGAGTATAATATTTAAAGTCCCATTGGTGCATTTACTGCAGGGAACAAACAATTTCATTTATATGCAGCAAACATCAGACTACAAATGTATATGTTCATGAGTATGCAGTACAGCTTTTATTTACCCTTTTTTCGAGCAAAAAATCTTAGAAGGTTTGGTGGCTATTACCTTTTTTTTTAACTTTCAGAATGATGGTTACTGTGGTAACTGCAATCATTTGATAACTAATGATTTCCCAACCTTTAATTAATGTAGACAACACAAAACTTTTAATTTATTTTTATTATTTGGTGAAAACAAGAAATACAGTAGTGACATATTTTTCCTTCAAGCACATAGGAGAAGACAAAAGTACTAATGATCTTCATTTAGTTTGACAGAGCAATTCTACTAGTACTTACAACTGGTTAGGAACATAAATGTCAAGTACATTATTACTAGGGCAAGAAATACCAAGTAAGACAATAGAGTTATATATTTTCTTTTTGAGATTACTTTCACATGACGTAGCAACAAATCTTCAGACTATTTGAAGATGACATTATTCAAATTATATTTCTAAGAATATAGCTATATATGAACAGAGACCAGAACAAGCTAATATATTAGTGAATATTCACATTAGTCTTCATACAGCACAAGATACAAATTTGATATTTTTGCACATGTTCTCAATTGCAAGCAAAAAGGCCTGTAAACATCAATTTTGCCAGTAGGCTGAAATGGAGACAAGAATAGCATTTTACTTAAAAAAACATTGAAATATGGAGCATATACTATTAATCTTCCACATATATAAAGGTCACTCCCAGAATAATAGAGAGAAAACATCCAGACTTACATTTTTGTTTACAAAAATCTACTTGTGAATTCAAGGAATTAGGAAAAACTAGAGGAAAACCCTCCTCCAAGCATACTAAATCCCAACCCCTTTGATTCTCCCACCTCTACCCTGGGAAGTGCCTCAGAGGCCTCCCCTCCCTCCCCTGATCCTGCAGGGTTTCAGTCTTTGCTGTGGGCCTTTCCAAGCCCAATCCACGGCAGGCTCATTTCTGCTTCTAGACTTTTACTCAATTTCCCATCCTAGACCACCCTTTCCATCCATGGCTTGTGTCCAGACCTCCTAAACCCTCAGGGAGCTCAGGTCAAGCCTCCAAAACAGAAGAGGAAAGGGTAAGAGTGGATGGTCATCACCATCACACACACTCACAACTAAGATGGCCCTGACAGTGCCCTTGTCCTACCTCCTGGACCTTGTCCTGGAAATCCAAACGATGCCACCCATGCCTTTAAGCCCTAGGAGGAGGCTTGGGATCTCCCAAGATCCAGACTGCAGCCTGCTTGCTCATTTGTTAGGAAAGACACAGGGAAGGAAATACAGAAGCTAAGGACTGAGGGCTAAGAAAGCCAAGCAGTAGGATGGAGGCCCAAGAGACACCAGGTTGCTAATAATATAGTACAGAGGACAGGGGTGACCTGTAAAATGCTATCCAAGGGTCATTTCTAAGCAGTCAACAGCCCCAAAAAGAATTCTATGTTTAGAAAAGGAGAGTAAAGCTAAGTTTTCATTGCTTTAGCTCACATCCTGCTCAGGGCCTGTCCTGAATTCATCACTACAAGGCCCTTCTCTCTCCTCCCATATTCTCAAACTAAAGCTCAACAAACACACAGGTTTTGGTAGAATTACTAAGAAAAAAAGGCGAGGATGTCAAAATTAGCTTAAAAGAACAATGCCTATAACTAAACAATTAAACTATAGGTCTCTCTTTGAAACTTTCAGACCTTACTAAAGGAAGTAGGGCAGAGAAATGAGGACATTAAGAGATCCGGAGTCTATTTTAGGATACATTTGTCTCTTTAGACACAATCAAGGAGAGAGCAAATTAAACAAAAAGCCTGCTTTGCCAGTTTTGTTTTCTCTTTCTGAGCTGTAAATGCTTTGGAGGGAGGGAGAAAGGAAGGGACATAATAAGCCTCACATTCCTGAAATACTACTTCCTCAATGTGCCCATGTGGCAAGTAGATGCAAGAGGGGGAAAGAGGTTGCCCAGATCAAGAGTGGTTTGTTGGTTATGGGTCAGAAAGGCTAACTGCTGGCAGGGACTGTGTGTTGTGGGCATTGTCACCTAATGCCCAACCTGGTGGGGAACAGGAGTTTCCTGTGTGCTGCCTGGGAGCTTAAGTCCACAGATAGAGGAGGCAGACAATGGTGGCCTGAGCAAAGCTCAACGAGAAGGTGAGAGCAAGTAGGAATGGGCTATAGCACAGGCCTTCATACTCACCAGCAGCTGGTCACGATGCAGAATAACCAAACGTACAGGAAAACCAACATAATAACATACAACACTTCTCCTCTGTTACCTCATTTGGCCCAGCAGTCACCCACCAGTCACCAGCTTGTTCTACCAGATAACCAGCAAGGCAGATGGCACAGGTCCAGGAAGGCAGCTGGGATCTAGTTAGTGGTAGACTGGAATGTCCAATTAGGTTGATGGCTGGGTTGGGATATCAGTTTCATCTTGCAGTGGAGAAACTCAACATAAGTACATGGGTACCACGAGCACAGCCAGCATAAAGTACGAAGCCCAGCTAGTTATTTGTAAAGATAGATCAAGCTTCCTGTGGTAGAGAACCACTTAAAAACCTGGAAAAAGACCATGTCACAAACAGGGGCCAAGCCATGCAAAGAAAGGCAGTACTGTACAGTATATCTACAGCATCATGTACTTGGCATGAAAGCAGAAGACGTTGCACTTGGAACATGTTAATACGATGTAGAACAGCATGAAGGTTCAGAGGAGAAAGAACACAGGCATGTAAGCAACAATCTTTCAACTGATTACTGAAGATTCAGAAGAATCAAAGGACGAAATAATCCACAGTATTAAGAGAAAGAAGAGAGAAGACTGCATGCTGTTGGCCAAGCATAGGCCCAAGAGGAAGTGGTAAGGAAACTCGTGTAGAAGCTTCTCACAGGGCAGAGATTAGCCAGACTGGAATCTGAAGGACCTGGGGCTCTCCACTGGCTGCCTTGGTGGGCCTCTACGGGGCCCTTCACCCATCAGGTAGTATTGGAGGGGATTGGGCCACAAATCTCCTTTGATAATCTCTGCAATCCTGTCGAATTCTAGAAGGCTGTGGTCGGAGAACCAGTTGAAGAAACTGGGGATAGTGTTCCCTTCCCGGTTCCTGTGGATATGGGCCTGGGGGTCTTGGCCCCGGTGCCAGCGGATTGGAGTGGAAAGAGACACCACCCGGCCAGAGGATCTGCGCTCATATTCCTTGACCAGCCCCTCATTTCGGAAGTAGGGGTTGCTCTGAAAGATGAACTTGAATTTGCAGCCTGCTCTGGGGTGTTTAAGCTCCTCCACCTCCAAATTGATCATGTACCTCATCATGTCTTCATCTTGGCCACTGATCATAGGTGACAGCTGGGGGTGGTTTCGAAAGGCGGTGACCCAGAAACCTGGGATATTTTGGATAATGAAACTTCTGCGCTGCATATGGAGCCTTCGCATCCGGCCAAACTTGCGCTCCAGCTGAAGGAAGGCCCTGTCAGCTTGGGCATTCACGTTTGACAGCTCTTGATCGATGGCCTCCAGAGAGTCCATGCAGTTATTGATTTTCGGGCCCCTGGGCCGCGCCTCCTCTTTCACTCCTCCTACCGCCTTTTTTTCCTTCTGTGCCACCTTCTTTTCCTCCATCACTGCCCCTGCTTCTCCCTCCTTTTCCGCTGCCGCTGAGATGGCGCACTTTTTAGTCATCACTTCCTTGGCCTTCTTCCCAGGCATCATCTGAGACCCCAACCCCGCTGCGCCACAGGCTTCTAGAGCCTTCTGCTCGGCAGGGCCGCGGGGCTCTCCACGCTGACAGCCATTTTTCTGGCTGTCGTCAGCCGCCGCGGAGGCTGAGGCTGCTTCCAGGCTTTTTGTGGAAGGCGCCTTTCCAGCTTCAGTCGCTGCACCGCCGCGGCTCCCGGCAACTCGGATGCAGAATGCGAAGCCACACTCCACAGGCTCCCCGAGTGCACCTCCCCCCGCAGCGGTCTCCAAACTGCCCTCACCTGCATTCGCCATCGCCGGTGCCGCCTCGGTTTCCTCAGGCAGCCCCTGGCACTGGTTTAGGTCCGGATCTCCTGGGGCATGGTCGGCAGTGGCGAGACCGCCGGTTTTAGCGAGAGGGAGCTTGTTGCCTCCGTCTAGGCCGCTCATTTTGGGAGAAATCAGGCTAACGGTAGAAGGAACGTCCCTTATCTTCCGCAGCAGCCGCACTCTGCGGGATGCTGTAGCGCCACCCCTCTTTTCCACTCGGGCGGGTGCTGCCATGGCAACCGGTGATGTCAGCTCAGGAGCGTCTTACATCGCGCGAGAATTCGCTGAGCCAGTGCGGTGATTATGCTTATCAATCAAGCGTAATCCTTTGTCTTGTGACAAAATGTGAATTTAATCGGTCTGGAAAAGAAATTTGGCTTACATAAATGGATGTAGACCAGACTGAAACATGTGAGAACTTTGTTAATGTGGATTTGTAAGCTTCTTAATGAATTTCTAAGGCACCTAAGCTATTGTCTCTTAAAATATTTAAGGATTAGAAAGGTTAGTCATTGTCTATTCAAGTCAGTTAGCTGTAGCTGTTTCTCACAAACAGGAAAGTGGATTCACCAACTCACAGGCCTTTCTTCTTTAAGGTATGGATTCATGGCTATTACCAAAGAACTGAGATGCGCAGAGTGTGATTTTTTTTAGAGAGCCGTCAAATATGACTTAAGTGTGATAATTTTTAAAAATTGGGAGCAGCTGAAAGGGAAACGTCTTTCATACTAACAAGACATAATAAGGGATTATTTCAATTGCCTTACAGATTTTAAAGTTTATGTACTTTGGCTAATTTCTATGAAGCAATTGGACAATATTCCCTCCTCTTTTAACTATTATGAAAAGCAAAATGTTTCTCCTTATTTAAGAGGTGACTTAACACACGTACACAAATTTGTCCTTTAAACATTACTGAAAGAACTATGATCTCAATGGGTTTTCATTTCTAAAATGCACATTATATGTTGCTTTTCCTCAGGCTATAATCTTAATCTAAAAGTAGTTCCTGCTTCATAAATCCTGTGGGCATGAAGCCAGCAAATATTTGCCAAAATTTGTTCCTGTGGTAATTCGCTGCAGGAAAAAAGAAATAATCAGCTATTTGCAGGCACCTAAGCTATTGTCTCTTAAAATATTTACTTTAAAATAAAGGTTAGTTATTGTCTATTGGAGTTAGCTCATAGAATTCATTTGATAGTGACATCACTACTGTGTATTCGTTTTTTTGGAGAATAATAGTGTTAATCCCTAGAGAAAGGGAAGACCAAAGGGAAACTTAAATTTTGCATATTAATGCTTAACATCTTAAATTTATGTTAGAATAAACAATTATGGTTATAACTCCTTGTAATAGAAACTCCATTTTGAGCACCAGAGATTATGATCACTTTCAAAGAAGGGCACAGGCAATTTAGAGATAAAGGATTTAGAAAAACACAGCACAGATACTGAGACTTCTAGTAGACCTGGTTCAATTAAGTATGAAGCGCTGATGGAAAGACAGTGGCAGACAATACAGAGAAGCAGCCTGCGACACATGGTTTTTTTGTATGCTAGTCTCAAGGACACTGAAGGACAGTGTGTCCAGATTGCCTGCCAGCAAATCAGTTATCCCATGAAAACCTGATTTGCTCACAGAAAGCAATGATTTTTCTCTCCCTCTTTCCTCTTACTCTTAAAAAAATTCTCTTTATGCATTTGAGAGGTGAAGTCAATCATGTATTGACTTGGTAAACAAATAAAATGTGCTATAATTGACTTTTTGACTTTGTGTTATTCTTTGACATTGCTCTGCTTCATTTCTGTTCTTAAAGAATTGTTGCACTGTTGAAGTAATTCTCTTGGATTATATATAACCTGAACCAAGATGAAGAGAAGCAGCAAATGCATGAAAGTTCCTTTGCCATGCAGGGGGGAAAAATATTTGCAATTATAAAACTATACAGAAAATTATGAAATTCCATGTGAAGTTTTTTCTCTTTATGTGTACCAAGATTTTTAAAAGATTTATATCTCTACTATTCAAAACATCCCTGTCTCTAGCTTTGATTATTCCTGTCACCTGAATGATTTTTCACTCATAAAAGCCTGCCCATTCTTTAAAACTCAGTTTAGGATAGATGCGGTGGCTCACACCTGTAACCCCAGAATTTTGGGAAGCCAAGGCAGGAGATCACTTGAGAACAGAAGTTTGAGACTAGCGTGGGCAACATAATAAGACCCCTTTTCTACAAAAAATAATGAGCAGGGCATGGTGGCATACACCTATAGTCCTAGCTACATGGCAGGCTGAGACAGGAAGATTGCCTGAGCCCAAGAGTTCAGGACTACAGTGAGCTATGATAACCCCACTGCACACCAGCCTTATAACAGAGGGAGACTCTGAATCTTAAAAAAAATAAAAATAAAAAAACACCTAAGTTCAGGTGTATACAAGATAGAAGAAACATTTATATAGGATAACGATGCCTCATTCCCCTTCAAAGTAGGTACCTTGGAACCTTATGCAGTTCTCCCAGCATCTCTTAACCTAACCCTTACATGTTCAACATTCTTAGTTGTTTGGCTTGTTGCAGCCATCCAGAACATGGATCACTTTCAACAGACTCTCAACCACCTTTGAAGCATCTGTGCCACATTTTCATTGAGGGCACTGCACTCATTGCATCGTCCAAAAGCCTGCTGAATCATCCGAATAGTTTCCACAGAGGAATGTTCAAGCTTAACGCAAACTTGATGCAGATTTGTTGCCCTACTCACTCAGTCATTTTGAATGTGATGGCCACACAGTACACATGCTCCTCACTCAACACAGTCTAGGGCCCCACTGACTAGTACAGTAAAGTTGTCTTTGTTCACACACGTGCATTCCAGTCCACTCTCCTTGGCTGCCTGGTTACATTGATGTCATGCAAACTGTTCTCCTTATATTAACAATGACTGGATACTTTCCAGACAGCCTCTATTAATTGGCAATTGTGTCTCTATGCATATCCAAACATAAAAAAGGTACAGTAAAAATATGGTATAATAATCTTATGGGACTAATGTGGTGTGTCATTGATCAAAATCTTGTTATACGGTGATTGACTGTACTTATCTATCCTCTAATCTTTAACTTTCTTGGTTATTTCATGGTCAGTCTCCTCATCCCAATTGGATAATGATAGCTACATGGCAGCTTCTTCCTTAGCATCTACTGTAGTATAGTCCAGTGACTATCTCATAGAATGTTTTCATTAAACTTGATGATTTAAGTGAAATTTTGAATTTAAATGAAAATTTTAAAAACATTTACCAAAATGAATGTTAAGACTATGGCAGTCTTTCATTCTGAGTTGGGTCGATACACATTGTAGCTATGAGTCATATTTTAAAATTTTGCTCATTAGGATATAGGACATTTTTGTACACAATACAACCTGTTCTATTAGAAATTGACAATAAACCTCACTGCACCGAAAACGTACATCAGTAACTTATGACCCAGTGGAAAAATATTTATAGAAAATGCCATGAGAATCTATGAGGTAATTTTCATTTGCCAGGAGATAAGGAGTTTAAAAGAAGTTCAGACATAATTTAATACAGTCAAATAGGAATGGCTTTCCTTAAATATATAGTAAATATTGGAAAATGTATGAAATATCCCCTATTGATACTCTTTTGAACAGCAGTTTGTTTTTCAGAATGATATAGTTTCTGGTTATATATATTCATTATACTAACAAAATTTGCATAATGGCTACTAGTGGCTTAGGGGGAAAAAAAGTCCCAGAACACTCTTATAAATGGTGGTGGGACATTCTATAAAGAAATGTTATCATTAAAATTATTCAAGGCATAGGCCAGGTGCGGTGGCTCACATCTATAATCCCAGTATTTTGGGAGGCTGAGACAGGAGGATCGCTTGAGGCAAGGACCAGCCTGGGCAACATACCAAGACCCTGTCTCTACAAAAAATTAAAATTAAAAAATTAGCTGGGTTTGGTGGTGCAAGCCTGTAATCACAGCTACTCGGGAGGCTGAGGTGGGCTGATTGCTTGAGCCCAGGAGGCTGCAGTGAGCTACGATCAGCCGCTGGCAGGTTCTTCAGGAAATATTACAGAAGGCATGCTATTGTAAAAGATGACAACTCTGTGCAATTGCCCCTGAAGACCTTCCAGTGAAACAAGATGTAGAGGTGGAAGACAATGATATTAATGATCCTGAACCTGCATAAGCCTAGCCTGATCTGTGTATTTGTGTCTTAGTTTTTACCAAAAAGTTGTGAAAACTATAAAAACTAAAAAGTTAAAGTTAGAAAAAAGCTCATAGAATAAAGATATAAAGAAAGAAAATATCTTTTGTACAGCTGTGCAATGTGTTTTAAGCTAAGTGTTATTACAAAGGGGTGAAAAAGTTAAAAAAAAAAAAGTAAACGTTTATAAAGTTAAAAAGTTACAGTAAGCTAAGGTTAATTTATTATTGAGGAAAAATATTTTAAAATAAGCTTAGTGTAGCCTAAGTACACAGTGTTTATAAAGTCTACAACAGAATACAGTAATGTTCTAGGCCTTCACATTCACTCACTACTCACTGATTCACCCAGAGCAATCTCCAGTCCTGTAAGCTCCAATCATGGTAAGTATCCTATACATGTGTACCATCTTTTATCTTTTGTACTATATTTTTACTGTACTTTTTCTATGTTTAGATATGCTTAGTTACATGAACACTTACCATTGTGTTCCTATTGCCCACAGAATTCAGTACAGTAACATGTTGTACAGGCTTGCAGCCTAGGAGCAATAGGCTATACCATATAGCCTAGGTATGTAGCAGGCTATGCGATCTAAGTTTGTATAACTGCACTCTACAAAGTTGGCACAATGATGAAATTGCCTAACAATGCATTTCTCAGAACTTATCCCCATCAAGGGACAAATGACAGTAATGCTATGTTCTAGGCTTAAATAATAATTAATAGGTTTCTCATCTACATGAATGTTTACAGCTGGATAATTATTTAATATAGGGCACCGTGCCTTACATTGCAGGATGTCTAGCATCCCTAATGCCCTTAATGAATGCCAGTCACACCTCCATTCATTGTAATAATCAAAATTACTCTCCAAAATTTCCCAAACACCCCCTAGAGAGTGGTACACACACATTATCTGTTACTGTAAATGCTTGGTATTCCCCTTCCTGGTCACTAGAGGGAGGAAGTGGTCTGCAAGATGATAATGTGATCCTAGTTTGCCTTTGAAGTTAAAGTTACTGTAAAGAAAATATTTACGGCAATTATAGACCATATGTTCACTAAAAGAATTATGGCATAGTTTTTCA